ACCACCCCCCCCCCCCCCCCCCCCCCCCGCCACACACACACACACACACACACACACACACACACACACCGCACCTCCCCAGTTGAGCTAAACTGTGATCAACTCTTTCTTTCTCTCTTTCCTTCTCCTAGTGCCTCTAACATGAGACTGCCGCTGCTGGTGTCCGCGGGCGTCCTGCTCCTGGCTCTCCTGCCCTGCCCGCCATGCAGAGCCCTCCTCATCCGGGGGCCTGTCCCAGGCGCCCGACAGGCCCCACAACTTCCCCAACCCCTAGATTTCTTCCAGCCGCTGGGGCGGCAGGTCCTTCCAGTTCAGCCGGTCCCGCTCACCACGGGGGAAGAATACTTCTTCCGCCAAGGTAACCTCAATGAGAGCCCCGCTGCTCCCCTCTGGTCAGCCTCCTCGCCCCTCGCCCGCCGCAGCAGCAGCCACCTTTCCCCTCACAAGGCAGCCGCCAACTTTTTCCGCGCATTGAGGCAGCTGAGATCGCTTCCCCAGCGCCCTCTCAATAGCCCTGCGAGTCCCACTGAGCGTGGTGCTGAGAGCGCCCTCAGTGGTCGCCAGGAGGCCCTGGAAAAGGAGAGGCGATCCAAGGAAACTACCACCTCACTGGATCTCACCTTCCACATCCTCAGAGAAGTTTTGAAAATGGCCAACGCGGAGAAGTTAGCACAGCAAGCTGAAAGCAACAGGAAACTGATGGAGATTGTTGGGAAATGAAACGGTGCGTTTGGCCAAAGCGATTCTGCATTTAGAAAAAATAAAAAAAATAAAGTATTCTGTACCATAGCATGGCTCTGATACCATTTGTTTATTTTTATATAGCTTGAAACGTAGAGGATGTATAACAAGAGCACCTGTTCTCCTTAATTAGAATGCACAAAGTGTAATCGTGTGCAGTAATAGCAACAAAATGGTATTTGTATTGTCTACTTTTAGTTTCCATTTCCAGGTGTCTTTAATGGTGTTTAAAAGAGTATAGACCCAGGAGGAAACGTTTTTGAAGAAGCAGACAGAAATCACCCAATTGATTTTGCTGTGGTCTGAATTCTCTTTGGTGGGTGAGAGAAATCATGTAAGCTCTTTGAATCAACTTTTCCTTGTAAATGTTTCAGTAATAAAACATCCTTACAATCCTTGGTCAATTTGTTTGTGTAATAGAATGTTCAATAGTTATCCTACATAATAAAAGGCTAATATCCAAATTGACCAAACCACAGAACCACCTGTTACTATGACGTGTACTGACCACCAGGGGGCAGATACTCAAAGCAGGAGCTGCCCCCTGGTGGTTAGTTGCTCCCACAGGCAGAACTGGGCTCAGCCAGAAGCCCGGCTCGCAGCTGGCAAGCTCGGCAGAGCTCCCGCCTCCCCAGCAGTGCTAAGGACCCTTCCGAGGATATCTGACTGCTGGCAGGTGGACATCCCCTGAGGGGGTCCCAGACTGTGAGAGGGCGCAAGCTGGGCTGAGGGACCCCTTCCCCCACAACCCTCCAGTGCACGAATGTCATGTACTGGGCCTCTAGTATTTTTCATAAACGCTGCAAAGGTAATCCTGACTTACTTTTGCTTTTCAATGATAGTAGTAGAAATAGTCTCAGCTATTGGACTCCTCCAAACTTACTTAAACACAGGTAAAGACAAAATCCCTTGCAGTTTTTTCTACTACAAATACAAAGATAAACCAGTGGCTAACACAGATCTTGCAGTATCCTTGGGTTCATCTCTGTACCTCAGATTACTCTTCTAAGATTGAGTTAAATAATTTGAGAAGTTGCTTCCAGCTCTAAGACTTGCTAATTCTATACATGGAAGATCTATTCATAATGGAAATAACATTTAGCCCTGATTAACTATAAGATGTAAACTAATTGGGGAGGGTTGGGGAAGGAGGAAAGGGAAAGAGGAGAATGGTTGAGGAAGGGCACTTCTACAAACTATAGGGCCAAATGCCTCATTTTTTTTCCTATGAGAAAGTCTCATACATTATTCAGCCATTATTTTGCTATCATAAATAATTTTTCTAAGCTATTTTCCAATGCCTACTTCTAATGGAAGCAACTTCTCAAATTATTTAACTCAATCTTAGAAGAGTAATCTGAGGTACAGAGATGAACGAAAGGAGACTGCAGGATCTGTGTTAGCCACTGGCTTATCTTTGTATTTGTAGTAGAAAAAATGCAAATGCAAGGGATTTTGTCTTTACTTGTGTTTAAGTAAGTTTGATAGCCTCTCCACTTAAAACAACTAAATTTAGTTGCCATGAAATGGCACTTGAGACAATTTCTATAAATATTTTGACTTTAATACCTCCACAAATACCCTCCTCATTTATGTTTATGCCAACACTAATCACTTTCATTTTAGTAATATAAACTATCTCTATTCACTTCTGAATTCAAACAACACATCTAGTTAGTTTTACAACGCATTCACCTTTTGTAGTTTAGTTACAACTTAAAAAATTCAATTGAGCCCTAGCTGGTTTTGCTCAGTGGATAGAGCATCGGCCTATAGACTACTACTAGTGGTCCATGAGGTCCAAAAGGTTGGCGAGCACTGGTATAAGGAAACCTTTGGAGCAGCAGTCACCAACCAGTGGTCGATGAGGTTCAAAAGGTTGGCAAACACTGGACTAAAGGGTCCCAGGTTCAATTCTGGTCAGGGTCACATGCCAGGTTGTGGGCTTGATCCCCAGTGGGGGGTGTACAGGAGGCAGCTGATCAATGATTCTCTCTCATAATTGATGTTTCTATCTCTCTCTCTCTCTCCCTTCCTCTCTGAAAT